AAACAAACAAACAAAAAAGAGCAAGACACTAAGAGACTTGTGTCCCTAGATACCCTGTATGCTGGTTAATTTTATGTGCCAACTCTCCCGGGCAGTAAGAGCCAGAACTGTAGTCAAATAATCTTCTAGATGTTCGTGTAAGGGTATTTTGGGGTGACGTTGGCATTTAAACGGGTGGATTTTCAGTGAAGCAGACTTCCCTTCCTAATGTGGGTAGGCCTGTATCCAATCAGTTCAAGGGCTCAACTTCCTCTGACAAGAGGAAATTCTGTTGCACTTGGCCTTTGGACTTGACTTGCAACACTGGTGCTTCCCTGGTCTCCTGACTGCTGACGCGCCCTGCAGATTTTGAACTTTCCAGGCTCCATAGTCACGTGAGTCAGTTCTTTAATACACACACACACACACACACACACGCACGCACGCACGCACACACACACACACACACATAGTTTTTTTCAGTTTCTCTGAAGAACTCTCAGGAAAATTCTAAATCATTTAGTCAATCAGTCATTCAAAAAATATCTATGTTAAAAACCTAAATGACCTTCGGAGAAAAAAGAAGACAGAAGCAAAGGTAACAATATCATAGATTTCTCGCCAGAAACTGTGCAAACCAGGAAAAATGGGATAAAATCTTGAAAAAACTGAGAGGGACACTGTCATTCTAGAATTCTATATCCAGTGAAAATATCTTTTAAAAATAAAAGTGAAATAAAACATGGGGGTGCATGCCTATAATCACAATACTCAGGTGGCTGAGGCAGAAGCATTATGAGTCTGAGGACTGCCTAGGCTACAGTGAGATGCTGACTCAAAAAAAAAGCAAAAGGGGCCGGGGATATAGCTCTTTGGAACAGCGCCTGCCTGGCAAGTGTGAGGTCATGAGTTCGATTCCTGGTACAAAAAATAAAAAATAAAGCAAAAACAAAAAGGAAGGGGCAGATGGGGAGGAAACATTTTCAGGCAAATGAATGTTGAAAGGATTTACATTACATTACAAACTTACATTGTATGACATTTTAAAATTTATTTTTATTTATTTTTAATTTTTAGATTTTTAAGAGATAAGGTCTCACCATGTAGTTCCAACTGGCCTTAAACTCACTATGTAGCACAGGCTGGCCTTGAACTTGTGGCAAACCTCCTGCCTCAGCCTCCTGAGTGCTGGGATTACAGGCATGTGCCACAACACTTGGTGATAAAATACTTTAAAAATGGAGAAGGAAAACAATACCAGACGGAAATTTGGATGGATACACACACACACACACACACACACACACACACACACACACAGAAGAATGCTGATGTGTCAACTTCACTGAATTAAGACACACCTAGCAGATTACTAGATTCTGCTAACACCTAGCAGAAACACACACTTCTGGGTGTGTCTGGGTGTCTTATGGAGGTGTGGTCTTGGGGTCAATGTCTGGCCCCTGGCCCTTCCTTGCTGGCACCTCCCCCACTCTGCTTCCTGCCTGCCATGATCTAAGCAGTTTTACCCCGCCAGGCCCTTCCGCCATGGGGCTCTTGCCTTGGAGCCTGCCAGCCATGGACTGAACCCTCTGGAACACTGAGCCAAATTAAATGTCTCCTCCTGTGAATTGTGAATGCCCCGCGCCATAGGGACAGGACAGCAGGCTAATCTACTTGGCAATGGTGAATATGTAAGAAAATACAAAATTTTTTCTGTGTTTTTAAAAATTTTTAAAAATAATTATGCACACTCATAACCTTAGCACTCAGAAGGCTGAGGCAGGAGGATCTCCATAAGTTCAAGGTCAGCCTGAACTGCATAATGAGAATCTGTCTCAAATCTCCCCCAAAACTGATTCTTTGTGATACAAAATCAGCATTAAAAAACCCAGTGGATTGTGCATACATCAATAATGAACTAGTTGAGAAAGCAGGAAAAGAATCCCATTCAAAATAGCTTCAAAAAAATAAACTATGTAAGGATCAACCTGATCAAGGAGGTAAAAATAACTCTACAAAGAAAATCACAGATCATTGAAGAAAGAATATGCAGAAGACACCAGAGGATGGAAAGGCCACCTGTGTTCATAGACCAGCAGAATTAATATTGTTAAAATAGTCATATTACCAAACACGATCTACGGATTCCATGCTTTATGGCTTGTTTCCCCCAAAACTCCATGTGGTCTATTGGGTTAATAACCCTTAGTTGCCAGGCACAGTGGCACATGCCTGTAATCCCAGCACTCAGGAGACTGAAGCAGGAGGATCATTGTGAGTTTGAGACCAGCCTGGGCTACAAAGTGAGCTCAAGGCCAGCCTGAACTGCATAGCGAGACCCTCTGGATGACGGCCTAGGCCTCGGGCAAACTCACAGGTAAACATGAAAGGCCAATTGGTTAATATTAAATTCTGCTCAGAGCTGCTTCCCAGTGGTCTCCATCAGTGGTCCTAGGTGGAGAGTTTCAAAGGTGGTTGTCTTAGGGTGTGTGATGCTGGAATTAAGTGGGCCCTACCCTGGGTGTGGGTGACACCACCCAAAATGTGGCTAGCTTGAATGGAATACAAAGGGCCGTAAAGTAGCTGCCTCCCTGCTTCACTGTTTTGCTGCCTTCTGCCTGCCCTACCATGACGTGTCTCCTCTGCGACGCCACTCTGCCACAACACCCTGCCCTGGATCCAGATGACTGTGGACTGAAGCCTCTACAAACTGTGGGCGAAAACAAGCCTCTCCTCCTTCAACTTTTGGGTGTCAGATATTTCGTCTCAGCAACAAGAAAAGTAACTAAGATGCCATGCAATCGCCATTAATTAATGACAATCCATTAATGACAATTAATGACAATCCATTAAGTAATTAATTAATGACATTCTTCACAGAACTAAAGGAAACAATCCAGCAGTTTATATGGAAACGCGGAGGACATGGAATAACCAAAGCAACCCTAAGCAAAAAAAAAGCAACACTAGAGGCATCACAATACTCAGTTTTAAATTATACGATGAAACCATAGTAAAAAACACAGCATGGTACTGGCACAAAAAAAGACACACAGACCAAAGGAATAGAATGGAGGACACAGAAACAAACTCACGTAACAATAGCCATTTGATTCTGGATATTGTTATGAGCTCTGGGCCTCCAGCTGGACTCATGCAGGACATTACCATGGGGTCCAGGCCCTTAGCTAGATTCTTTGATCTTTAGTGTGTGGACAGATTTCCTGCACTCTCTTGTATATGATTCTTTGGGTGACTATTATAAATAATCTTATAAAAAATGTGTCCTGTATGATATTGTTCCCCTTCCTGACGACAACAAACACCTTATCCATAAGGGAAATGCAAATCAAAACTACTTTCAGATCCCCCTCACCCCAGACAGATTGGCTGCCACCAAGAACAGAATAAACAATAACATGCTAGGGATGATGGTCGGGGAAAGGAACCCTTCTACACTGCTGGTGGGAATGTAAATTAGTACAACCTCTAGGGAAATAAGTATGGACATTCCTCAAAAAAATAAATAAATAAATAAAAATAGAGCTAGCCTTTGGTCCAGCTATACCCCGCCTTGGTATATGCTCAAAGGAATTAACGTCAGCACACTGTGGGGACACCTGCATTCCCATGTTTATTGCAGCACACAATTCACAATGGCTACTGTTGATGGGAGCCAGCCTAGCTGCCCATCAGCAGATAAATGGCGAAAGAAAATGTGAGATGGGAAGGGAGGGAGGGAGACAGAGAAAGAGAGAGAGAAAGGAAGGCAAAAAATGTATGCACACTTCAGGAAAAGAAAAATAGTATAACGTTTCTTCACAGATGGGGTTACCCTCATTTGGAGGACCCTAGAGGATGTCCTATATCACAGAAAACCCACTACACTGCTGGCCCTTGAGAAGCTGAAAATCCATGTATAGATATATATATATATATAGACATAATCCAGTCTCAATGACCAAGGTTACCCAAGCAGCAGTTCACTGTACTAATAAATGTCTGGAAGCTAATGGCCACCACTTTGAGCACCTCTTGTAACTGAAGAGGTCAGAGGTCACTTGTATTAATCTCATAATGTCTCATTAAATTTAGTATTAAAATATTTACACAAGTTTTTCCTTCCCCTGAAGTGTGTATATGTTTCTGGCGGGCCCCCGATACATATGTATTTGGATGTATGTATATTATACATACCCACAGTGGAGTATTATTTAGTCATAAAGAAGGATAAAAATTTTGTCATTTGCAGGAAAATAGGTAGACGTCATCATGTTATGCCGAATAAGCCAGACTCAGAAAGACATATATTGCACGTTCTCTGTAATATATAGAATCTAAAAGGGATGACATAAAAATAGAAAGGGTACTAATATTAGGTAAAAGGAAGGGAGTAAGGGGGTATAAAGGAAGGGGTAGATAGGATCAAAATGTAGTATATACATGGAAACCCAATATTTTGTAAAGTTAATAGCTGCTAATAAAGTTTTCCTGAAAAGAGAAGGCAAGCAAGTGTGCACAGGTGGTAACTAACAAACTTTCTTAGTTTCCTTAAGAAAATTCGCAGCTGGATAGGAGGACTAATGTCTAATGTTGCACTGCACGGAAGGGTAACTATAGTTGACAACCACTAACTGGACATATGCATAGCTATCAGAGGGGTTCCAGTGTTTCTTCTTTTCTTTTCTATTTTGGTTCTGGGAATTGAACTCATGAGTGCTTCAAACAGACGCTGTGCCACTGAGCGATACCCACTCCAATGTTCCTAACACAAAGAGACAGTAAATGTCTGAGGCTCTGGATAGGCCCTGTTATGGTCACTACACACTGTTCACATGTATTGCAATGTCACACCGTACCCTATCAATACACACAACTACGGTGTGTTCATTAAAAATCGAAAATACATTTGCAAAAAATTGATTCTTTAAAGCAAAAATAATAACAATGCCTTGTGGGGCTTATCCTCCACATAGAAATAACTATGTCTGACAATAGCACAAAGTACAGGAGGCAGGAAGTACAACGGTATTGTTAGGAGGTTCTTCAATTATATTGAAGTTGTACGCTAGCCAGTGACTACAGACAGCAGAAAGGATGGAGACCTCTTATAGAAGAGGGGCCTGACCCCTCCTGGATATCTGGCCTCCGCCTCACCTTGCGCTCTCCTCCACCAGGGTGGCATCTGTCATGACGTGATATGGCCAAAGGGGCCCTGCCAAGGCTGAATCAAAGGAGCTGCTCAATCTTGGACTTTCAGGGTCCAGCACTATGAGCTGAATGAACTCCTTTATAAAGTACTGGCTCTGGTATTTCATTATAGCAATGGGAAATACATTAATACTGATTCACATCCAGATTAATGTGTGATGCAGATATGATACCTGTCAGAAGAAGGCTGTGGTAAGAGGAGTCTCAGGCTATAATACAGTTCCAGCAGTCAATGAAGAGTTCTCAGGCCAGTGTCCCCCAAGGGGGGCGAAGCGGCCCTGTTGGGCCTACAGACCAGAAGTAGCTAGCAGGATCACAGGATGTGAAGCTCCTTCCAAAAGTGGTGGCAGCAGCTGGGGCCTTCATCGATTAGCAGGAGATCCAAGTGACACGTTTTCATAGCCTTCCCAGAGCCCTAAATATCAAATGTCAGATATAAAATATAAATATCAAATATCAAGATCATAAATCTAGAGAATGTCTAAGACCACTTTTTGTTTTTTAGGAACACTTCTTTATAAGGGTTGAAAAGAGCATTTTTACACAAAACCTCGAAATCCCAAAGTATAAGCCAATAAGAGAAAGCAATGCCCGCGATAACATCAAAATTAATGACTCTTTTCCAATGAAGCAGTAGTTAACAGGTGGATAACAGACTGGAAGAAGACCCTTGAGATATGTATAGCTGGCAAGGGACATATTTACAGAATAGATAAGGCGCGCCTACAAATCCACAAGGAGAAGATAGTAATTCTACCGGGAGAGCAGTTGGAAGATAAGAACCAGCAGTTTCTGCAGAAGCAAGACTTGTAAGGACAGGAGGGAATGTCCACACCCCTAAGTCAGAGAGACAAATGAGAACAAGAGTGGCCACATTAGCTCTGCTGTACTGGAAACGGGGAGGAGCTAGTCCCCGCCAGGCACTGGCAGGGCCTTCTGTGGGCTTCAGACTGAAGCACAGGCTGGGACGAGCACCGAAGGGGACATTTAAAAGAAAATTAGTCCGTGTTTGCAGTACCTAACGTTCGCACTCCTTGTGGGGACCCGGCACATGTCCCTACCCACCTTAATTCCTTTTTTCGTCCCTTCTCTCCTCCTTCCTCCCCTGCCTCCATTGCTTGATCCCCTCCCCCTCTGAGAAAGATCTGTGCATCTCCCTACTTCCTATTATCTAGCTTTATCTAATTTTTTTTTTTTGGTCTTTTTGAGACAGGGCCTCACCATGCAGTTCAGGCTGGCCTTGAGCTCACTTTGTAGCCCAGGCTGGCCTCGAACTCAAAACGATCCTCCTGCCTCAGCCTCCCAAGTGCTGGGATTGCAGGCTTGTGCCGCCATGCCCGGCTGTCTAGCTTTTACTTTGCTCTTTATTTATATTTTCTCTCCTATAAGAGAAACCTTGTGAGTCTTAAGCTCATGTGTCTGACTTATTTCACTTAACATGGTGGTCTCAAGATACACCCATTTTCCTATAAACGGCTCAAGTTTGTCTCTCTTTGGTCCAGGGTAGTGCTCCCACTGTAAGGATATTTTCTTTATCCATTTGTCCACTGGCAACATACAGGCCACTTCCAACGGAACGATTTGATAGTGTATTTTAAAGTTAGGTCCATGTACCCTAAGACCTGACAGGTTTAATAAATACATAGATCCCAAGGAAATTCTCAGCTGGATCCCTGGGGTGGAAATGCTATATGGGTTGCTCCCTTTGGCATCTTGAGCCTGTCTTGATCTCTGGGACCCACATCACTGAATAATCCTTAGCAGTCAGAAGCCACTGCCTAAAGGTACAAGCAAAGTTATGGAGCCGGGGGAGGGAGAAAGGTTAGAAACATCGTAATCTATAACATTTACATGAATTCCCCTTACATGAATTGGAAATACACACACACACACACACACACACACACACACACACACACAAAGGCTACAGCTTCCGTACGGTAGAATGGTTGCTTACGGGCGAGGAGGGAAGCAGGTAGGGGATGAAGGTGAAAGGGAATGAATGCATGCCCAGAAATGAGAGGCCCTCTCACAAAACCACAGAGATGCTGAGACAGCGCAGCCCCTAGGACCTGTCGTGGGCTGAATTTGTCTCCCTAACACTCATATGTTGAAGTTGTAACCCACAGGTTCTCAGAACTACATGCAGCATAAGGTTGTCACCAATGTTATTCATCCAGATGAGATTATATTGGAGTAAGGTGGGTCCCCAGTTGGATACAACTTCTGTTGTAATAAAAGGGGAGATTTTGGACAGAGATAATCACGCAGAGAGAACTCCACGTGAACTAAAAGCCGAGAGGGTGACGGATGTGCCTCCAGCCAAGGGACACCAGCTATTGCCAGGCAGCTGCCAGAAGGTAGGCGAGCAGCACGGAACAGCCCCAGAAGGAGCCAACCCTGCGGCTATCTTGATCTCAGACTTGTAGCTTTTAGAGCTATGAGACAAAAATATCTGTTGTGAAGGGTACATTTATAGCAACCAAAGCAAATGAACACAACATCTGAGACTTGAGTGAAATAAGTAAATGAGCCTCCCACGTTCTCAGCAGAGGGGTACACCGCCTCCCCTAAGAGATTTCCACTCCGTTTGGAGGACAGCAACAAATAAAGATGGCAGACAGCCTGAAACACAGCCTGGAGCTGCCACAGCCACTGTGGCACAGGGCAAGAGCAGCTCCTGGACCTCCAGCAGCCCCTGCTCCTCCTTCGCCTTCCTCTTGGAAGGTTTTCCTATCCGACACTTGTTTTCAATGTCCCTGGCTTCTTTACTTCATCTTATTCTTTCCCACTAACATGTAAGACTGTCATTGTACATACTGATGGGATGCCCTGTGCTATCTCAATGCCTGTGCTATCTCAATGCCTGTGCTATCTCAATGTGGCTGCGGGGCTTTTGACCTTGAACTAAGATGTTTCCGGGAGCCTCATGCTCATCTCACCGCCGGGGGGCAGCAGAACACTTGAGAGTTCCGAGCGACGCAGGCCCTCACACACAAGGTTAGCTCCAAGGAAGGGCTCACAGCGGGGGTCCCTAGGCTACCCTGGAGGTCCTGAGAAGACTTCCCGGTGGGCTCACATTGGAGTTGAGCCTTGGAGGAATAACAAGTGTGATCCAGGTGAAGATAAAAAAAAAATGACATTCTTGGCCTGATGTAGCCTCAGTTGGTTGTCAGGGACTGTGGTGGATTGACCGCTGGTGGTCAACTTATAACCCCCAGCTGAACTGAGTAAGCATGGTGCTGGGCGTGAGAGGCCCCCCTGGGGATTGGTGCCAGCAGCATAAGAGACAGAACTGGAGAAGGAGAGGCTAGGCTGCTGGGAGGGGAAAAAGTCTGTTGGAGCTGGTGGAAGCTGCAAGGAGCTGTTGTTCTTTTGGAGGAGCTTGTCATGCTGGCTTTCCTGATGAACTTGGTTGTTTTCATCCTCCAAGGAGCTCAGGGCCTTGTTGGCACTGAGACTAGCTTCAGTTCACTTTGGGGGAGCTCTGGTCCTCACTTTGAGCAGCTCTTCCTGGCTCGAGGGGAAGATGGTGCACTGCCAGTCTCTGGGAGAAGCTTGCTGCGTTGACTTCCCTGATGGGAACTCGGCCATCTTGTTCACTGGAAGAGCTCAGGACCTCACTTTTGCTGAGGGTGGCTGTGGTACCTTTCGGGGGAGCTCTGGTTCTTCTGAGTGTCGCTTCCTGGCTCCAGTGCAGACCCCTCAGCTGCTGGCACAGATCCTTCATCCCGCTGGCGCAGATCCTTCATCCCACTGGCACAGACTTCCTAGATTCTACTGCTGACCTTTGGGCTTTCACAGTGCAGATCCGTGAAACAGGCCTGCATGAGACATTCTTATGGTCTCTGGGCCTCCGGTTGGATTCATGGAAGGCACTGTTATGAGCTCTGGGTCTTCGGTTGGATTCATGCAGGACATTTCTGTGAGATCCAGGCCTTCAGCTAGATTCTTGGTCTATAGTGTATGGACAGATTTCCGGCACTCTTTTGCATATCGTTCTTTGGGTGACTATTATACATAATCATATAAAGTAAGTGTCCTGTATTACATTGTTCCCCCTTGCAAATAAGCCCCAAACCACAACAGGGACAGAAGCTTATGACAGTGAAAGAGAAACGTATTGAAAAGCTACAGTAGCATCTTCCAGACTGACAGAGAAAGCATAGCCAGAACTCAAGGGCGCTGGACAGCTGTCCTCGGTGCTCCTTCTTCCTCAGGGCCCCTTGTTGTCAGGGTCTCCATCCTGAAGCTATGTGGCCACTGAAGACAGGAAGGCCGTCGCAGAGAGGCGGTTGGAAGCTGAAGCCGAAGAACATTCAAATGGATGAACCTCAGGGATTCCTTCCAAAGGCTCTAAGTTTCAATGCATCCCAATAGCTTAGTCTGGGCAGGTGCTTTTCCCCAGCAGGACTCCAGCTGCCGATCCTCTGCTGTCCAGGGTGCTGAGGGCCACGACCTGTGTCCAATGCCTCGAGACCCCAGGGCCCAACACTGTCTGACCTTGCGCAACAACCTCAGAGGGCACATGAGAGGGTGTGTGCTAAGTGAGCTTCACACTCTGGAGCACATCAGTTTCTTGGTGCTTCCAAGAGTCCTGCAAACTTGTGAACCTTGGATCTCTCAGAGCCTGGCTGGCTCCGTTGAGGGAAGACCAAGCAAGTGTGCATCTGTGCATGCAGGACAGTGTGGACTGGCTCGCGGTCGGCAGCCCAGGTTGTGTGGGCAGATTTTCTCAGAAGGGGCTGTAGCAGCTGGGGTCCTGGTGGGAATCAGCAGCTCCTTCGAGGGAGAATTACCAAGGCAGAGGTTAGACACAAGAGAAGTGATGCACGTGACAGTAATGACAGTCATCTTCTCTAAGTGGGAGGAGCGCGGAGAGGAAGGCATTTCTAAACACAGGACAAGCCGGGTCACACAGCACACATTGTGGGTCAGGGCCTGGTCAGGCAGGAAGGCTCCTTCTCCCTTCTCTGACTCTGCCTCACTGTGATCAATGCAATGGAAAGCCATAGTGCCAGCTCAGGGGCAGCAGGTAGGGGGTCCCATCAGAAACAGGCCAATAGGGAATGACCAGCACAGGAGGGGAAGTGCCTGCATACAGGGAGAGCAGGCAAAGCAGGGTGGGAAACCTCTTTTGCTCCACAACACTAGAGGACACAGTGCTGGACAGCAACTGGACAGACCAGGGCCGCAGAGGACCTTGGGGGCCGCCATTAGCAACGGGGTCTCCACCCTGAAGCTATGTGGCCACTGAAGACAGGAAGGCCTTCGCAGAGAGGCGGTTGGAAGCTGAAGCCGAAGAACATTCAAATGGATGAACCTCAGGGGTTCCTTCCAAAGGCTCTAAGTTTCAATGCATCCCGAAGTCTTTCTGTTTGCAAGAGGCAGAAACCCACTGAAATCACCATCAACCAAAAACAGTTACTTGGTGAAACCGAAAAACCAGGGTAAAATTGGTTTCAGGGACTCCAGAAATGCTGAAGACAGCAACCTGCTTTTCTCTGCCTATCTCCCTCTTTTACTCCTCTTTGCCTTCTGTGTGTTTAAGACAGGGTTTCACTCTGTGCTTGAGCGGCCTTGAACTCACTACGGAGCCCAAACCAGCCTTGCACTGGCAGGGATGTTCCCGCCTCGGCCTCGCAAGTGCTGGGATTACAGGTGTGGGCCACCACGCTCGGCACTCCTCTCCTTCCCTCCTGCATTTGAGATCAGGCCCAGGGCCCCATGCACACTAGGCACATGTTCCACCACCGAACTATGTCCCCTGCCACTCCATCTCTCTGTCGCCGTGTCTCTTTCTCTTCTGGCCAGACTTCTCACATAGCTCGCTACAGAGGGGAAGGGAGAGGCCATAGCTCCCTCAGCCCAGTGAGCGACCCCAGAAGAGAAGCATCTCTTTGAGCATGCACAGAAAAAGACCCAGGGCAGTACCCATTGGCTGGGCTCAAGTCATGTGCCCAAGCACAAGCCAATCATTTCGGCCAGATGATGGGACCCTTGGGTTAACTAGGACCAGCAGTCCAGGCTCAGCGGCCTAGAGTGAGGCTGTGATGGCCGGGCTCAGTGGCACGGAAGCAACTGAGGAAGGCAATCGGCCTCCTCAGAAGGGGTAGGGGGCAGGCTGCCTTAAAAACATGTACCACATCAGCAATGCTTGCACCCGGAGCTCAAGCAGGAAGCCCCTGCCGCAGGAGGCTCCAACATGGTGTGAGGAAGGAGGTGGCCCGATTAATACGTACTTAGCAAAAGACAAAAATCAACCCGAGAAGCAGAACGTGTCCAGGCAGTGCAGACTGAGGAGAGCAGAGCCGTCTCTTGCCTGGCCTTCCAGCGTCTTCTTACAAGCCCCTGGTGGTCCCTATTAAAATAACAATGACCATTCTTCTTCCAGACACTGTACAAACAGCAAGAATGTGGTTATGGCCCCCCAGAGAGCCAGCAGTGGATGAGCTCTATGGCTCCCTTCCAGGGCGAGCACATTCCAGCCGGATGAGGTCACAGAGCCAAGGAAGGCAGGGGGTGGAGGGAAGGGGTTCCTGGGTCAGCGCTTTGGAGCCCCGCCTCGCCACCCACCCCACTCCTTAATAACCGTGACGCTCCCAACCCCCAAGGCCTCAGAAATCCCTGGACACCTTGGATCATCACACTGGTGTGAATGCAAAGGCAGGCCTGGTTCTTGGGACATAGTCCGTGGACTGGTGGGACTAGGAGAACCTAGTTCCTTCCACTACCCGCTCTCCCTCTCCCTTTCCTGATGGTCCATGGGTGGGCAGCTAGGGTTTAGCATTTGGTGGACCAGATGGACACAGACAGTAGGTTAACAAACGTGACATTAACCAAGGAGGATCAGGATTTTGTCACTGAATACCCAAGGCGGCACCACTATCACCTGTCTTGGGGGTGGGATGACTTGGGTTCACTGGGTTGGTTTGATGGCAGAAACTTGTATTCAAACCGAGCTAAGACCCTTTGCTTCCCCTACCTTGCTTGTTAGCCTCTCTTGCCCAAGACCTGTGGTTATAAAGGCTGCACCCCGCTTCAAGGCCCCGGGCACGGGCGGTGGGCGCGGGAACACAGGCTGGGCTCTGGTCTGAGGGCAGTGAATATTTTCATAATTCTCACAACGGCATCATCCTGGCTGGCAGCAGCCCACCCCCGGGCAGTCCTGAGCCTTCTGGGAATTCCAACAGCACCCACCATGTCGGCTGCTCCTCGGCTGCTCGTACACCTGGCCCCTTAACCGCAGCCTCGCACCGTGACCCGATTGGTTCCCATGACAAAGCATGTTATTCCCAGAACCCACTCAACATTTTCTTGCTGCTGGGCCCTTGCTCTTTGGGGTCCTTTAGCCTAGAATGCCCCTCTGCTCGTAGCCACCTCTCCCATTTCTACATCTTAACTCCCACCTTTAATAAATTAATTAATTCAATTAATTTAGTCTTTTTGAGACAGAGTCTCACTATGCAGTTCGGGCTAGTCTTGAACTCACTTTGTAGCCCAGGCTGGCCTGGAACTTGCAATGATCCTCCTGCCTCAGCCTCCCGAACGCTGGGGATTACAGTCCCACCTTTCTTTTAAACCCCAGTCTGATGTCCACTCCTTCAAAACACTTTCCGATGCCAAAGTTGGATCTTATCTCACTCTCTGACCCCTCTCCCGGCTGCTCAACTGAGTCTCACGCTAGGAGTCATCCAGCTCCGCGACCCTTGCTCTATCTTCTCCATACTGTATCTCCTCAATTCCCCACTTCAATATTGTGCCCGTTTCAGAGGACGAAAATGAGGCTCGCAAGGACTTGTCACAGCTAGGAAGCAGCAGCTCAGGAAACGAATCTGAGTGTTCTGATGTTAAAGTCGCCTCCTCTTCTAGGGCTGTTTTGCCCCAGATGGCCCTACTAAGTGTGAAGGGTTAGTAACCCGAAGCCCGAGTGGTTCTCCCAAGAACGGATATTTGCAGGTGTTCTGCAAAGGAAAGAGGTTTATCCAGGCCCTTTTTCGGTCTTCTCCGGACAACTGCAACTCTCCTAAGGCTCGGGCAGGCCCCTCACCCACACGGGCCCCAGCCCACTGGGAGACCTCGCAGCACCCAAAGCGCGGAGGGCCCGGGCGCCCAGGCGAGCGCGCTCCCGCCACACCCTGCCAGGACCCGCTTGTTTACGCCTCGTCCGGCGCGCGCCCGGCGCCCGTCACGTGACCGCCCCGCCCCTCGGCTCTCGCGTGGCTCCTCCCGCCGCGCCGGCCCTTCTTTTCGCCTCCTTGGGAGTCACAAGATCGCTCAGCGGCCTCCTTTTGGGATCCTTCCGCCGTGCCCGCCCCCTACCTAAAAAAAATGTCCCTCGATTTTTCTTCCCCTCAGCCAGTCCGCATCATCAGACATGAGAATGACCGCCTGTTACATCCGGAGAGGTTGCTCATCTCGGTTATCTCTCTTTAGGCTCAAGGGGCAGGCGGCGCCCGGCCGGGGACTCTTTTTCGTGGCGGAGGCCGCAGCAGCCGTGGACGCTTCACGACGGGGGGAGGGGCTGTACGTCCAAGATGGCGGCGCCCTGTAGGCTGGAGGCACTGTGAGGTAAACAGCTGAGGGGGAGGAGACGGTGGGTGAGTATGGGGGTGTCTCCCCCTCCTTTTCACGGGGGCTTCTCGGGGCAGGCCCGGCAGCATGACTGCAGCCCGGGAGGCCGCGGGGGGCTGGAGCGAGAGGCTTATGTGCTGGGTCGGGGATCTGGGGAAGGGGGTTTCGGAGGGCTTTGCTCTCCCTCTGATTACGCGGCGGCTCCGGTAGGGCCCGGCGGGGACCGGCGGGTCCCTGGGGAGGGGTGCTGGGCCGGGCCCGCACTTCGCTCCTCTTCGCCGGCTGAGCGCACGGCGGCACCCCCGGGCCCCGGTGCCCAGGGCAGGGGTGAGGGGAGCCCCGGCGACAGCCCCTCCGGGGTGGGGTGACAGGTCCCGGCGGGGTGGGGGGGCGAGGCGGAGACCCCTGGCCCGGGGAAAGGGCTGGGGGTGGGGCCGGTCCCGGGCCCTGCGGAGAGGGGCAGGCTTGGGGTGTGGAGAATGAATGGAGGCTGCCTGTGGGCATCGGCGACTCCGCTGGGCTCGCTCTGCGCTGCAGTTGGCGCGATCGGAGTGCCCTGCCCCGGGGCACTTGTGGGGGTTTCGTTGACGGGGAAAGACAGTTACCTTCGGGTCCGCCGGGCTGATCCTTAAGAGACGGCTATTTGCAGAGCCGCTCCTAGGTGCTCATTCATTCATTTGAGGAACTAGTGGACAGTGGACGGAGAGCCTGCAGTCACAGACGCCTTTGCAAATTAAAGCGCTTTCTTTGTGTTGCCTTTTAAAGAGTTTTTGCTTCGTTCGCTTGGATTAGGGATGGAAGAGGCTTGGGAGGGGCATACGGCCCTCCAGATCACAGCAGCTGATGGTTACGGGGTGCTGTCGGTGCCAGGCTCTGTGGACGCGCTTTCGCAGATGTCATTTCTTTGGTCCAGGACAAGGGAAGACACAGCCACTGTTACAACCCCTCCGGTCTTCTCAGATGAGGAAACTGAGGCAGGGAGAAACTGGGGTAACCTGCCCAAGGTCACACCCCCTGGGTTGAACCTGCCCTGGAACTGTGCTCTGACTTCGAAGACACGACTCTTACTGGTTATTTGACCAACCCTAGCCTGCCATTAAGTGATTGGGTCAAGCTGTATGTGTGTTTAGTTTTGGGGGATGCACTTGGCTTGTGTGCCTTATGCTCTTGTTTCCAGCGTTGTGCCTGTAAACGTGTTGGTCTATTGGGGGATGCACTTGGCTTGTGTGCCTTATGCTCTTGTTTCCAGCGTTGTGCCTGTAAACGTGTTGGTCTGAATTAGGCTAGAAAGTATCTGATACTTTGATATAATTGGTGCATTTACTAAAAAAAAGTTCTGCTAAAATCCGTGTTGGATTTTTTTGTTTCCAATAGCACGATCTCTTTATGTAGGGTAGGCTGTTAAAGTACTAAAGTAGAATAACAGTCTTCTGAGATACTTTGATTTATAATTTTGGGATCAAACTTGCGGTTGTCTGAATTCAAGGAGGCTAGAAAAGTGGAGTGGTAAATTTCAGGAAGCTTAACAGAATCTAATCTTCTGGGAGCCTTTGATTTACTGAGCAACCACCTGTGACTCTCAACTTGAGCATTCCTGAGTAAACCTGGAATATGCAAATGTGAAAACTGATTTAGGGTTTTATAGGGAAATGTACCTTTAACAGTCATGCATCAGGCAAATGAGGCTCCTCAGAAACAGTGAACCGATCTTTGCTATTACCCAGGGGAGCTGCAGAATCTTCCTCTAACCACCTAGTGTAAACTTAAGGGGTATTTATAGAGGCTGTAAATGGAAAATATTCTCTTAATAAAGTTAATATCTTACCCCAAACACTCTTAACATTGCGGGCCTAAAAGGGCAGATGATGTAAGCTTTCTTTGCGCCATGCATTTTCTGGTGTCGTAAGCACTCGGTATGTTTCTAAATTCCTCCTTGGAAAGGAGACTTTCTTGCATCGTTTCATGTACGGGAGTGTGTAAAACCCTGTGACTCAGTGGTACTCTTCCCAACTGGATAAAGAACAAAGATGTCTGCTACTTCTACTGATGTGGTGTAACATGATGCTGTTCGTGCATGCCTAGATGAAACTGAGCAGTCTTACTAGTGCATATCCAATATACCTGTACATGTAATGTTTAAAGAATAATGAAATTGCCATAACCAAGGGGCCCCAAACCGTAGCATTCACCAGAATCTCCACGCACAGCTACCTGGCGTGGTAGACCTATATATTCAGTGTGTGAGTTCACCCTTTCCTTACAGATTTCTGAAGTACACAGAGGATGAGGACAACTGGCTTAAGTTCAGTTTGGCTATTTTCTTTCAATTTATAATTTATTCCAGAGGCATTTCTTAGAATAGCTTCTCACCTCTGATGTGTGTAGTGATCTTGAGTTTTGGGTTCTGAATTAGAGCTGAACTGACCTTAGTTTTGTCTTTATCTGAAGTTGTAAAGGATACAGGTGTGTTCATTTCTGGGCTCCAGTGCCATAATGAACTAAAATTAGCTTCGCCTGGAATTAGTTGGATATTCTTGAATGCCAGTGAGCCAAATACAACAATACATTAACCATTTCAGACTTCGTAAAAGAGTCAAAAGCTTTTGACCTTTAACATGTCATTTAAATTCCCTCCACCCAGGTTTCTTCATCTGTTAAGAGTTGGATTGTAAATTAAGGAGCTCCCACCCCACATCAGGGAATCAAACCCAGGCCCTTGCACGGAACAACATCCCAAGCCTTTTTTTTATTTTTTAATTTTTTTTGTTTTGAGACAGAGTCTCACTAAGTTGTCCAGGATGTGCTTGAACTTGCATCCTCCTGCCTCAGCCTCCCAGAGTGGTAGGAGATGATTCTGTGTAAGTTCTGCATTTTATATAGATCTCTCTTAGAAAGATTACTTTTATTTGTATTAGTTTTGTTTGTCAGAAGAAGCAGCAGGCTAAAAGAAGAGATTTCTCAGTAGCACACAAATTGTAGTTGTGTGCTTTTTGTGTGTGTGTGTGTGTGTATATATATACATATATATATACATATATATATATATATACATATAAACACTATACTCAAAACTGAGGTTTTTACCTCAGATCATCAGTCATAACTAATATACTTTGGTTTACATTAAATACTCGTTTTTTTCCCGTTTAGAATGGTCTGAAGGAGGTCTCACACCAGCCACAGGAGATCATTCTTTCTCTGATTTATGGTTAAGCCCTTGGTTGCCAAAAATTAGTAATTAATGTCTATTTTAATGGGGAAGAATGAATCTCAGGATCTCAGGAACATGATCTGAGGAACTTGTCAGGTTTTTTTCTCCCTTCTCCTCTGTACTGCTAACTTGTTACATATTGGAAAATAGCAACAGGTAACAGAATACTTTGAATGAGTTCAGATTGACATCTAAAGAGTAAAATGCTTTTAAAACTCAGCTTTAATCCCCAACAAGGCCTGATAGTTACTAGCCTACAAGTCACAGGTCACTTAAAGTAGACATAAAGTGGTAGAGGCCATGATGAGTGTATGTAACACGCAACAGTCTTGCCTTGTGTTGCTGGTTGATTGACAAAAAGCACCACAGGGAGTGACAGGAAGAACAGATGTAGTCCCCTTGGTATCTCCACTAAGACTTGTGCTGCTTTGCATCCTTCCTGGAGCATGGTAACAAACTTGGAAATGTATCTCCTTAAACTTGTAGAATGGTTTTTGTCCGTGTTTCACATACCAGCTGTTAAATGCAGAGACTGCTGAGCGTTACGTGCTCACAGTGCATTCTTTAGCAGTAATATGGTTATAAGAAACTTGCATTGAGAACTGGCTTATGTGCCAAATACTGTGCTAAATATTTTACATGTCTAACCCTGTCTACTCTTCCTGCAGCCTTAAGGAGCAGGACAGGAAAGGACACTGAGGCTCGGGGACCTGAAATAAGTCGTCTGAGGTGACTTATTCAGTGGTTGAGCTGGGATGTCAGCTGTGTTTGGTTGACTCCAGAATCCAAACATATAATTTTGCACTGTGATAAACAAACTGCCTGATCTGCCAATTTCCTAAATTAACTCACAGGCCAGTGGTTTTTAACTTTTTGGGGGACCTCAGTTCCTTCTTTAAAATCTGTGAGATTCGATGCACCAGTGTCCCTTTCTCTACCATTTATCTTCCATCATCACCAAAATATGAGAACAGATCATAAATTTTGGATATAGTTTCAGAGACTTCATGGACCAGTTTAAAGTCCATCAATCATTGTAGATACTTTTCTTAAAAGTGGACTTAGGTTTTATTAAAAACAATTTTTTTGTACCAGGAATCGAACTCACAACTCAAGCTTGCCAGGTGTGTGCTATGCCACTGAGCTATATCCCAACCCTTATTAAAAACACTTTTAAAAAAGAAAGCGGGTAGGAAAAGGCCCCAGGGTTTTAAAGGTGGACTTGTATACTGTTTGTGTTACCAATCATTTTATTAAATTTTTGAGTTAGAAGATTATACTTCCCTGGAAATGCAACCTTAGGTGCCACTTTAAAAACATTTAGAAGTAAAGGACTCCCGTATGTAACCTGCTAAATCCTTGCCGGGCTTGGCATTCAGTCTGTGCTAGCACCTTCAGGACCTGGCAGAATTTCATTAGGTTTTTTCCAGGGCTTGTGCAGTTTTGTTTTTGTTTTTGTTTTTTCCTTTTGAGCCTCAAACTAGATATAGGTGAATGTTTTCTACCTTTATCCCTCTTCTTCCTAGACCATGGTTCTTAACCTTTGGTGGGCATCAGAATCAAAGGCCCCACTTCCAGGATGATTGAGAGATCCCCAGAAAAGTCCAAGAATTAACATTTTTAACAGATTCCTGGCCAGTGATGTTGCTGTCATGGGGATGCAAGGACCATATCTTAAGAGCTACTGCTCTACCCTGCTTTCTACCCTAGAATATTTCTATTTGGGGATACAAACTTGAAACTTACAGAAATTTGTTTGATCATTTTTCTCTTAGGGGAAGCTCTGTATACTGTCTTTCTGAAACATACATGGTATCTGTTTGACTTGTTTTTCTTGGTAAATAATTTTGTCCTTGTTAATAAAAAGTCAAAACAGGAGCAGAATTTATAGAAGAGATACGGTTTACCAAAATCAAGCGGTGACCATGCAAGCACATTACTGGAGGACTTGGCACCTTTGGAATAGGATATACGCTTTAGTGAACTGTCAAGGCCCCTAAGGGCAGCAAATGCGAGTGGAGAATGAGGCCAGTTAGAGAGCTCCCGCCCAGCTTCTGCGACCTTGAGAGAGACTGTCATTGTTGAGCGCATGTAAAACCATGCGTGCCTACACATTTTGGCAGCGTTGGCCATCATCTGTTTGACACTCACTCTGAGCACAGTAGTCTTTCCTACCCCTTCTCTAGTTCTTCTGTGTATCCGTAGGAAGAGAGAATTGGAGCAAACATCTTGCTCTTTTTAGATGCATTTGTGCTGAAGACAACTTGATTCACTTGACAGAATATTATTCTAAGAAGTCACCTGAGAATTCCTGAGCCGATATGAATATTAATGTAGCACAGTAATATTTCTACTTCTAGACTGTACTTGATAATGAAGTAGTCCATCAGTGCCTGGACCTGTATTTGAACTCTTTTTTTTTTTTTTTTTTGAGACAAGATCTTGATGAGTAGTTCAGCCGGGCTTCAAACGCATACTGATCCTCTTCCCTCAGCCTTCTGAGTTCTGGGATCATAGGCCCATACCACCATAACTGGCAGATTTTTAAATTATTTTGCAGTAGGGTCTCACTATGTTTCCTTGGACTGCTCAAGCACCCCCCTTTTGGCTGGGAGTACCTCCAGACCTGGTTTGGATTTTTGTAGATAAAAATTTGAATATGGAAACCACGTTACAATGAAGAGACATCTGCCTTTGCACATACCTACAGTTGCATTTGTACATCGTAGACAACTGTATACAAAACCATCTTGGGTGATTTGATATGCTGTTGTAGTCCAGAGGGGGCCTAGGGTTAGTGTCCAGGCCATATGTTTCAACACTTACTTTCCAAAAGTCTAAATATTCAGCTGGTAAATTTATCTAAAGTACTTGTTAAAGGCATTTAGGCACCCACCACTAGTATAGTGTTTGATATAGGCAGGTATCACTCTTAGGCTTCTCCAAGCTCCTAGTGCACCTTCAGTAGGGCAGAGATTTGGGGGGGAAATGGTGCAGGTCCTGCTAATGACATCTCTGCATGGCGGTTAGGCCGGAGGTCCTGTGCCATCCCCAGACATGTAAACTCCACCCTGAACACCTGGAAGATGAAGTTAAGATGAGCTATGACCACAAGTCAAGGATCTTACTTCCATTTAATCACAGAGCCCTCATCTTCCTTGAACCTACTCTTTATTTTTATTCAAAATGCTTGTAGTAGTGAAGTTACAGTGTTGCATACAGATGAGAACGCAGCTTTTGGGTCAGATATCGAAGAAGGAAAACATGTAGAACTGGGGCCACGTTCCTTTTTTATTTGGTGTTTGAAGATAAGAAGGCAAACTCTGATGTTGCTGTCATGTTTTGACAAGTGTTTCCAACCATGCCCCTTGTTGCCAAGCAGGAGGTTCTCACAGGGCATGTCACTCACTGACCTGAACGTAGGCTACCCGAAGGGTAGGAGTTAAGTAAATGCATCTTTTTGTTGTGGTTTGTTTTTTTGTTTTTTTGTTTTTTTGTTTTTTTGAGCAGGGTCTTGCTATGCAGTTCAGGCCGACCTTGAACTCATTATGTAGCCCAGGCTGGTTTTGAACTCACAGTTATGCCTTTGCCTCAGCCTCCCAAGTAAATGAACATTTAGAAATATAAATAGCTATAGGTAGCCTGTTTGCTATCTGTTTGACATATCCTGGAAAACCGATGCTGAGTCAGTCTCACTGTCCTTTCTTAGCATGGTGATAAAGAGGTTTTAACATTGTATAGTGGATCAAAACCACCCTTGATTTCCTGTGGCAATGCCTTTATCTAGGACAGTATCTTGGCTGAGCAGGCTACAAGATCTCATCTTGGGTATATCCTAGTTTTACCTTTGCCTTAGATACTCTTTATTTTCAGGAATAAGATCAACTGGGATCAGTTGCAAGAGAACGTCAGTGTGACTCACTGGGTTATCCTGATTTTAGGGTTCTGAAGATGTGGATCCCTCTACCACGTCCAGTGCTCTGGCTTAGTAGAACTGAGTGGCCAGGCAGCATGCCTACTCTGCAAGGTTTGCCCCAAGGCACTGCTCACACACTTGGAGGAGCCTCTGAGGACCACTGTCATAGATGCCTTAAATGTGTTCCACGTGGAGCTGCAGTTATCCTGTCATCTAGAGCAAGAGACTGTGTTAGAATTGCTCAATCCTCTCGACTTTGACCACCCTTGTGTATTCCAGAGTTTGTTTGCAGGAGCTAGGTGTAATTAGGTTCAGTAGTATATATGCCTAGCTGCCTACTATCTGTGCTTCCCAGGAATGGCTGTCAAAGAATTGGATGAGCTCTTATGGACCTCTGTGTGCTAAGGGCCAAGACAGCCATGGTACCCTAACCCAAAGGCCCTTGTCCTCGTGGAGTTTACAGTCTGTGATCAGATTGTACCTAAACATTGTTTGAAGGGCCAGTATTTTAAAAGAAAACTAGATTATGTTTATATATACTCATTTAACATGGATGGTTAGATAATTTGGACAGAAAGTAGGGTAAAGGGGGAAGAAAATTGAGAAATAGCTGTTTGCAAATACTTTAAGTGTGTCGTTAGAAGCATTAGTCTTAGCGCTGCTGGAAAGCAGAATTAGGCTTTGTACACTTATCTGAGAAATATTTTAACTGCTAATCACTCAGCCAACAAGGGCCAGACATCGGGAGCTGCGGAGATAAAGTACTGAATAAACTGGGCTCTTCCTTCTGAAGCTTCTGGTGAGGGAGACATGTTCAGTGATTAATTACACTTATTTAATTGGGTCGTAGTGAAGAGACACAGAGAAATCCAGGCTACCGGGTGTCTGTATCGGGTCCTGCCCAGTGTGGGGCTGGGAGTGGGAGGGAAGATGAGGCCTTGGAAAGTGGCATGTGAGATTGAGCCTTTAAGGACAGGGAGTTAGTTTAGGAGGGTAGGGATGAGGAATGAGGACAGGGATGCTGTGTGGCTTGGCTGGGAAATTGAAAGGGTCCTAAGGCAGGGCCACAGGCAGGGAAGGGCGTGTGGTACTGAGAAGACCTTGCAGAACTACCAAGGGCTTTGCTTTGCAGCTCTCACTGCCTCACCCCTAAATGGCCCCGGGAAGGCATCGTCTCATCTAATCCCCAGCCCGCCTTAGGAGCTTGATGTTGTTCTTACTTGAAGCAGAAGGTGACTCAAGGTCAGACAGTAGAGGCTTAAAATGAATAGCCAAAAGTGACACAGCTAAATAAGTGGCAGAAGCTGGATTTTGACTCAGACCTTGTTCTAGAGCTGCTCCTGCCCATTGCTTGATAACTAACAGTTAACAAAAGGCAGAGATCACAAGTTCAGCAAAATATAATTTCAGCCACCAGGCATTTAGAAACACAGGTGAGGAGGTGCACGTGCTCCCAGTACTTGTGAGTGTTTAGTCTAGTGGAAACCAGTGGCCGTCTGTCAGAGATGCCCATAGAGGGGAGGAATTACACCTGGTGGACCTTAGGCTCCCTTCTGATGCATGTTGGGTTTTATTCCATCGTGAGACTGTTATGTACATACATGTCTATGTGTGTTTTCCTTTTAGGGACCATGAAAGACACCAGGTTGAGAACATTGGAAACTAAAGTCCCAATTACCCCCAGAACAGGTAAGGTACACTCGAAGTCCCATGGTCGGCAAAAGATGAGAGGGAGTCCCTCACTGGGTCCATAACATTTATGATTGTAGGGACTGGAATTCCATCATTTAGGTAATTATTAAAACTACTAATGACTTACTATTTGCTGTTTAGTGCTGTGCACTGCCTGCGTCACTTGTCTTCTGAGCCACGCTTTTGGTGTGTCCCCCTCACACGGAGTTCGAAGGTCTTAGGCAGTTTCCTAGGGGCCTTTAGCTAGTACCTGGTAGACCTGTGATGCAGATCAGTCGTGGGTGGCAGCAAAGTGACTTTAACTGCTGATTAAAATAGGGTGTGGATACTAGAGGAAGCCTTTGAACCGTGCAGAGGTTCTCTACTCTGGCTGGGTCTTGGAAGTCCACTCGGGTTCATATACACAAACCAGTGTGATGCCTGGGCCCTGCCTCTTAACCTGTTCTATAGTGGGACTGGTCTCCAGATAATTCCGTTGTCCATCCTGGGTCAAGAGCCCACGAGCTAACTAGTGAGCATTTACACTTTACTGGGGCTACATTTATTAACTGTCTTATGGTAGTTTTGGGAGATAAATTACATACTTTTGTAAGTTTCAGGCATTGAGAGATTCTCATAGTCCTGGAATAGAACCTTCATACAAATTGAGACTTTGGCATTTCATAGATCTGAATTTAGTGTTGGCGAACTAACTGATCAGTGAGCTGTCATTTTGAGTTTACCAACAAGAATGTGTGTATATAGAAAAGGTGTATGGGGAAGGTGAGGGGCGTTTGGGCCACCCTCCAAATAGCCAGCTGCTCACTTGCTTCATTTCATGGCTCAGCGATTGCTATTTACTGTATTCTGTCACCGTGTACCTTACCTATGTCATCAAAGCATAGAAAATAAGGTCAGAATTTTTGCCTTAAAAATTTGTGTTGGTTCGTAAGCAGACAATACAGATTATAGATGATCTAGAAGGTGAAAACACTGTTCTCATAAGTGGGGGAAGCTTTCTCAATGAGTTGTCATTTTTAATTTTTTTATCTGTACTTTATCTCGTCCCTTCTACAAGTTCACTGAATATGGACTTGAACCCAGACAGGTGGTCAGATGTTCAGATCATTAATTCCCAGTTGGAATATCAACGTTATAAAATGTAAATTTTGGGATACAGAAATGTCTCAAATTTTATTAAACATTTTCTGTGATTAGATTTGTGTTACATTTCATTTTATTTATTTGTTTGTTTTTTGAGACAGGGCCTCGCTATGTAGTTCATGTTGCTTTGAACTAGCCTGAGGTTGGCCTCAAACTCATGGGGAAGCCTCCTGCCTCAGCCTCCTGAGTACTGGGGATTACAGGTGTGTGTCATCATTCCTGGCTTTGGTTATATTTTAGTAACCACATTTTAAAACTTCAGAGTTTTCAAGTAGAAGTGCTTTGTGAACACTGTTAGCTGCTAGATTTCCAGTGGTCACTGTTATCTGTGTGTGATTCTCTCTTTAGCTGGTACACCTAGCCCTATTGCCAATGAAAGCAGTATTCAGGGAAGTTTCCAGTAGGTGGTTCTGTAGAAGAACCTGATACCTGCGATCCATACATGGCCGGGAAGCCCTCACAAAGCTTTCATCTTCAAGTAGTAAGATTTGCTGACAACCCATAGCAGTGGTTTTGACAAGATCTGGTGAATGTTTCACCTCAATGGATTCAAAACGAAGAAATTGCCTTAGAGCATTTCTGTAAAGTCTATTTTGAAATTTGATTGAATACAGAATATGTCTGAGTGTTTCATTTTTCCTTCACATTGATTGCTTCAAGTCTTTGTACTTCACTTGTGTTGTTACTGTTTTGTGCAGACCCCCCACCTCACCCTCACTGGCGCTCGAACCAGGCTCACGTATGTGCTAAGCAAGGGCTCTACTGCTGAGTTATACCCCTCCTTTATTTTATTTTTATTTTAATTTTTGCTTTTTGAGACAGGGTCTTACCATGTAGTTCAAACTGTCCTTTAACTCACAGCGTAGCCCAGGTTGGTCTCAAACTTGTGGCAAACCTCCTGCCTCAGCCCCCTGAGAACTGGGATGACAGATACGCGCCACCATGCCCCACTAGCCTTTTTTATATTCTTTATGTTTGGTTTAAAGCTGGCTTATGGGGATTGTTTATTACAATTATGGATTTTTATGTACTTAATTCATACAAAATTGAAGTAAAAGGGTTGACATTTTATTTTAAATTCATTCTCACAAATGTGAAGTACTCCCAAATGTGACTTTTTATTGAAAGAGTACAATTTAAATGCAGTTCTTAAATGTTATTTTGTGTTTTTGTAGTAAATACTGTGAAACAGTTCTGTAGAAGTTAGAATTAAGGTATTACTTAGTTTCTATTATGTAGTTGAGTTAAATTGTTACAACACTAACTTGTAAGGCTGTCTAAGTTACTCTTAATAGTTATGTTGATATGTTTAATTATTTAAAACTTCTTGGTTGTTTTTGAGTATAAAAATTACAGACATCGTTGACTAACACTTTTACTTTCATAATAAGTATATTTTTAACTTACGAGACACAGAATTTGGGTACTTCATCCAGAATGTTTTACCTTTCCTCAGAAGTGAATGTTCAAATGTTGACTTACTGTTAAATATCCTAAATATATTCTCTGTTCTTATTACTGGTATTCTGTAGGTAGGTGTAATGGTACAACATGAACGTACAGTTACCACACACATGAGGTCATAAGGTTGCGGAGGCCACAAATGCTGCTGAGTTAGCAGTTGACAGTTCAGTCTTCAGACTTTCCACAGACACAGGCCAAAGCCGCTTGTCAGATTTTGGATGAGTGTAAGACTGAAACCGAACCACTAAATCTGCTTTCCATGCCTGTTGAGATGATGCTTGTTCTCTGTGGTAAATATGGTGGCCAGTGGGAGAGTGTGAACTTGGCTCAAGATTCTTCATGGTTAGAGGGGAGCTTTTATTGAGAGAAGGTGACTGGTAACCTGCCCACACCATGCTCTCGATCAGGTGATCAGGGAGGCCACTCAGAGGTGGTGACTTTTTGGCCAGACCTACGAGACGGTCAGGCATGCAGGGATACGTGAGAAGAGCATTCTAGGCACAGGGAGAGCAGCCAGTGCAACGGCCCTGGGCAAGGGCCAGTTTTCATGGTTTTGAGGAGACAGGACAGAAGGGAAAATGAGACAGGGAGGCTGAGGGAGGTGCTCACTGGCTGGGTTGTGTGGGGCGGCGTAGGCTGCTCATGAGTTTGCCTCTTGTTACTGGATCTTAAATGGGAGGGCTGGATTCTGATTTCCAGATTTCGTGGTTTCCTGTGGTCCTTTGGTAAATGAATTTGAGAGTCAGAGAAAGTGAGGGAGCCTTGTGCTCTCCTCTCCAAAGAGAAAATTGCTGAGGGCTTGGCCTGGGGTGGGTGCAAGGAGCTAGCAAAATGAATGGGTTTGTTTTGGGGTAGATATGGAGGCGAGAGTGTAACCTAAATGTTTGTTTTAGACTTCTTTCATTTTTTTATTTATTTTTGAGATAAGGTCTCATTGGTGGGTCAGGCTGGCCTTGAACTCACTGTGTAGCCCAGGCTGGCCTCAAACTCAGTGATTCTCCTCCCTCAGTTTCCTAAATGCTGGAATTACAGACGTGCACCACAGCTGTTCAACTCTGATAGTCTTTTTTTGAGATCTGGCAGAGCAGCATGTTTTGGAATGGGAGTGAGTGGGTATTGAAGGCCATCACTCCTTAATAGTATCCGCTAGCCCTGTACTATGGCCTGTAGCCCCCAGAGATAATAGTAAATTAAATGGAATGTTGCTTCATGTGTAAAATAGAGATGCTTTTCTATGCTCTTTTCTATAGTGGGATGCTTCTGTAATGTTAGAGACATCATGGCTGTAAGTGGAGGCTTCAGGGCATCTGTAGCACCTACTGTAGGCTGTAAGGTGTGTTTGATAAGTACGTCTCATCCACCGCTACCCAAGTCCAGGTCAAGCAACCACCTTCCCTCCTTTGTGCACCTTCTGAGCCATGGCCACTTTTCCACTAGTGCACATGTATTTCATCACTGCACATCTTGTCTGTCCTCCCTGCTGAGTACCCTACACTCAGTAACCCCGAAGTACTTGAATGAGTTTAAAAAGGAGGGATGTGTCAGTCTTGGGACCAATTCCAAACGCTGTGACTTAACTCTAAGGGGTGCTTTTCAGAATGTCAGTTTCTTATATGAAGAATCTCACAAAAGCCCAAATTTATGTATTTCCTGAGGATTAAGAAATATGGTTATAAAAATAGAAACACTGGGAAAACTTAATGCCAAAAATATTATAATGTGTTTTAGAATAAAATCTTAGTTTTGCTTTTATAAACTATTTGGAAGGAGTAGGCTCCAGAAACCCGATTTTGCACCTAAATTACATTTATAAACTGAAAAACAAGCTGGGTGGTCCAGGCTGATTAGCCCTGACTATCGCCAAGTGGGCTGGGTGGGCGCTGTCCTTGTGCGCAGCTGAGCTCCTGCTGCTCTGTGCTGTGGGGCGGACTGCATTTGGAGGGCCAGGTCTCACGCTACTGTCCTGTGAATGCACAGAAGACACACTCAAAGTCTTGCTAGACTGAAGGTAGGAAAGGAGCAATTTATTGGAATATGTAAAAGCAAATTGGAGGCAGAATACATCTGTGAACTGGATTCTTGTTCACTAATTGAGAATCATTTGTGATTTACATGGAGTAGAAAGGAGGGCAGGGATTAGCTAGATAAATGTGCTCTTGAAAAGTTGTCTTGAAAGCGTGACCCAAAGAGTTTTACTAATTTTTCTTATGGTAATATACAGGTAGGATGCAGTGAGTGAGTTTTCACCAGGTACTGTGCTAAGTCCTTTGCATCCTTATTACTTCATCCTCTCAGGAGCAATAAAGCAACTTAATTTATAAGCTTAATACAACTCACAATAAGTTGTAGTTTGTTTCTGTTTTTATTTTCATGTAGATTCTTACCAGTTATGGCCCCGTACTTCTCAGTCCTTTGAAACTGACTTCTGTTGCGATTTACCTGTAAGACTTCTACTTACAAGTATGGTCCAGCAACTTCCTACGTTATGATTTGCTATCAAAAATGCATTTAAACATTTTAGATTATTTTTCTAACTAATGAACCTCTGACTCAGTAGTAGCTAAATCAGGGAATGTCACCAGATATAGTTAAAGAGGAGCACACTGAGCTAGTACCTGGCAGTTCTTAAATCCTTGCTAATTTGGCATTCTTACAGAAGAAGCTTAACTCCTTAGCTAGACTTGCCTATAGCATAGCATTTCTCACACAGACCTGCATATTATCTATTTAAGAATCCCATGGGATTCTTATTGAAATATAGATGCCATCCAGCATGCTACACACCTGTAATCCTAGCACTCTGGGAGGCTGAGGGAGGAGGATGGCAAATTCAGGCCCAGCCTAGACAATATAGTAACTTAGGAAGACTCTATCTTTAAAAAAAAACAAAAACCTGCAGATGTAAATCAGTGTAAAGGCCCTAGGTTCAGTCTCCAGTCTTGTGGGGGAAAAGCCTGAGCCCAAAATTCAGGTTTGGAACAGACCCCGGAAACTGCATTTCTAACAGGAATTCCCAGTGATTTTGATGCACACTAAAGCTTAAGTTACTTTAAGTTACTTTAGCTAACTCAAGTTACTTTAAGTTACTTTAGCTAACTCAAGTTACTTTAAGTTACTTTAGCTAACTCAA